AGAACATGGTCAATTCCTTTATGGATCAACAACAAACACCAGAAAAATCACCTATCCCAGTGATAGCTAAAAACCTTATGTGCGAATTGGATGAAGATTGTGACAAGAATAATAAGGACAACTTAAGTTCTAGTTTTCTATGTTCTGATGATGAAAAAGCTTGCAAAAGTATTTATATGGACTCTGATTCATCTCTTCCTGGACTGTCTATAATGGAAAGTCTATTAGAAAGGCAGTCATTAGCTCCAGATAAAAGCATCAAAGAATCTTCTTTTGAAGAATCAAATGTTGAAGACCTGCTTACTGTATCAACCAGCTGCCAAGAAAATACTTCGTCAAAAGGTGATGAGAATACTGCTGTCCAAGACAGTAACCAAATGTTAGCTCCTTCTTTGGAGGTGTTGAAAACATTAACCTTCTCTAAAAGAAATGCTGTAGCTTTTCGAAGTTTTAATAGTCATATTAATGTATCTACTAACTCAGAACCATCCAAAATGAGTATTAGTTTAGATGCAGTGGATATTTCGTGTGCTTATAGTGGTTCATATCCCATGGCCGTAACTCCTACTCAAAACGGAAGATCCTATATACCATGTCAGGTATGTTATAACTTTCTAATACTTTGTTATTTGGATTTTAGAAAAACAAACTGTGAAGGTCAATCTTTTGCTTCTCAGCTAGACTATATGATATTAAACATATAATTTTGTTTTACTTGTTGGGAATCTATGGATTGTTGGAAGTTTTAATGCTGGTAAAGCTGGTAGCAATGTTTATTCTTAACTACAATGCCTTCTTCATTTGTACTGCTCTATATATTTTCACGTATTTATCATGACATATTTTCACTTGATCCCAGAAACTCTGAGTTATAAAAGTCCACTCTGTTGTCTCCTAAGGATATATTTAAGTGATCTCTTTTCTGTATAAAAATAAGTTAAAAAATGTACCATTTCAAATCTTATTTCATTTTTATTTTATAACCCTTTATCTTTTTTTTTCTTCCTTTGGAGAGACATCATAATATAAAAAATGTAAACCCCAAATTTAGTTACAAGACTTAGGTTTTCTGTTCAAAATTTACTGAGTGACTTAGAGGTCCCTTACCAGCACAAGCTCTCTTTCCCATCTGTCTGTAGAATATAATGATACCTGTCCTGCTGGTCTCATAGAGTTCTTGTGAGATGACAAAATATCTTAAAATTTTAAATGCCTAGTAGCATAATATTATTTACATTTACTTCTATCTTATGTGTTATCCCAATAATTCAATCATTTGTCAGTCGCAACCTCCCTCAGTGAGTGTTCTTATGCTTGTGTTAATCCATGCTATCAAGAAATTTTTCTTGTGGATTTTTTTCATTGTTCCTTGAAATAATTGATATTATCGAAATAATTAGTGTTACCTAAGCTATTGCATTTTATTAGATAGATGTCAGTACTTTTCATAAGTATAATCAGCTTTGCATCCACTTTCAAAACTGATCAAGGATTTGAGTATATCTTTTGTGCCCAGCAGCCTAGCTTTTTTGTTTTGGCATTTCTGTTCACTGTAAAAAGAATTAAGATATATATTGTCTCTTAAACTCCTTTTAAATCAACAGACCCCAAATCAGGTCAAGTCAGGAACTCCATATCGAACTCCAAAGAGTGTGAGAAGAGGGGCAGCCCCAGTGGATGGAGGGCGAATTCTGGGAACGCCAGACTACCTTGCACCCGAGCTCTTATTAGGCAGGGCCCATGGTAAGGCATATATGTCTTGAATTTTTGAAGTGCTATCTATCACTACATTTTCTTTTGAGACAAAATTGTTTTAAATTTATCTGGTACTTGGATGACCTAAAATAAAAGAAAACGAACTCTTACAATACTCCTGCTTCATATATATAGCATTTATTATAGGAAAAGAAGACATGCAACCATTGGTTCTTTGCTTATGGTTCAATCTCAGTCATTGAGAGAATCCTCACCTTCTACCCCCTGGTTATCATTGCTCTAAATGTCTCCTCAGTTCCATTCTAGTTTGGGCTCAGAAATACAAAGTTGGGCCTAAATTTCTGTTCAGTCTGCATGCCCTCACATATACCCTCACCAGAACGGGCAAGCCAGAAATGAGCCATCCTTCAAAATGCATCAGGAATAAAAGGATGATATTTTCACTTATCTTTCTTTTCCCTTTCGCTCTCTGAAGAATTTTCCCTTCCTACATTCTGAAATAAACTGTATTTGTTTTCTGGGGCTACTGTAACAAAGTACCACGAACTAGGTGGTTCAAAACAGAAATTTGTGACCTGACAGTTCTGGAGGCTAGAAGTCTAAAATCAAGGTGTTGATAGAACCATGTTCCCTCTGAAACCTGTAGGGAAATCCTTCTTGCCTTTTCTTAGCTGCTGGTGGTTTCCTGGCAATCTTTGCCATTCCTTGGCTTGTAGATGCGTCACTCTAGTCTTCCCGCTTCATATGGCGTCCTCCCTGTGTCTCGATGGTCATATGGCTGTGTTATAAGGACACCAGCCATACTGGATCAGGGGCCCACCTACTCCCATATGACTGCATGTTAACCTAACTAATTACATCTGCCAAGACCCTGTTTCCTAATGTCACATTCAGAGGATCTCAAGGTTAGGACTTCAACCTAGCTCTTTTCAAGGGGACACAATTCAA